GAGGTGACTGGGTGCTTGGCTTGATTTTTAAGACTATAGGGGTTCTGTCATAGTTAGAAAAAAGTGTTCTGCCAGGTTTTATTCTAACATTGATTTTCTTAAAATTTAAGCACAGTTCATGTGGTTATTTGCTAGTTATAGAAATAACTACTAATAAAATCTTAGGGCACGGCCCACTCTCCTGTTGGTACAGTTCCTATGTGCATAGGGTGTCTGTTCACAGTGGAGACCCATTCATCTTTCCCCTACTCTTAACCTGCATGTGCAACACAATAGGCTTTTTGAGCATGAGTAACCTGCCCTGACCAGAGAGGAAGGGCAGGATGGGAGTATGGAAGGCAAACACAGACCTACCATCTCCTTGACTGGCTGCCTGTGCATGCATATAGTCAGGGGAGGGGGGAAATAAGGCTCTCTTGAGCCTATGGAAATTGTTTGTGCATGGGCACAGCATATGAGGTGCTCTGGATTATGCCTCATGTCATTAAGCAAATAATTCTCAATAGATAATTGCTTATTTAAAACACTGACTTACTCAATTTGCTTTTCTGTTTCATGCAACACAGACACTAGGTATATGTCTCTGTATTGCCTTTAATCGGAAATACAATGATATTTTGATAGGTATACCTTCCACGATCTGCTTCTGTTTTCAGTACATTGCATTACCTATAAATAAAAGGCATTTTGTAAGTGTCCAGAATCTGTGTGCTGAAACATCTTTAAAGTTCACATGGATAGAAAGTGCATTTCAGTCTTGAGTTGATGTTTCTGATTAAACTGAGTTAGCTGAAGTAAAGTGAAATGCAGTTTCAGAACTGCATATTGGTACATGTTTGAATCCATTATCTTAAATGTATTGATAGGGTGAGTCTACCTTTTAAAGAAACGCTTCTTCAGTGTTTTTCAACTTCAAGTGAAACATGATTCTTTTACTTCACCCTTAAACAATGCAGCAATGGAATACTTTACTTTCCTGTCCAAATTAAGTTGCTATATAAATCGTAATCCTGCCTCTAATTTCTCCCCCCCCCCCCCGACAGTGTTTTGGTTCATGATATGCTTCCCAATTAATGGCCAATTTGATTAAAACAGCTTTTATTGCAATTTAGGAATAATATTTGAAATATAATGTGTACATCTCTGGGAACTATAAAATATTTCAAAATTTTGAATTTGAATGGGTCTAAATTTGTGTGTGTGTGTGTGTGTGTGTGTGTGTAGTAAAAAAATAGGTTTCGCTTTTCAAATGTTCAAAAATATTATTTTCTTTTGTCCTGTTTTAGTGGGTGGGTTGGATAGCTACCGTGGTTGGAAAGGTACCAGCAATTTTTGCATGTTTGGCAAGATGAGATAAAAAACCTACTACTCGCAGCTAAATCTCTGTGAAATCAGTGGATAGGATCCAAAGAAGAACACTCCTAATTATGTGTTCATGGAGCTTGTGTTTCTTGAGCAGTTCCTTGTTCAGTATAGCAAACTGCTTCTGAAAGGGCTGGGTCTCAAAAGCAGTTTGTGTTATAGCATGGGGTCTTGCTGTTCCGTGTGTGGGGAGTCAAAAACCTAACTGGGCTTGTCAGAAATTATCTCTGTGGATTTTTGCCAGTGGATCTGTTGTCCAAGGGCTATGTCTAGAATCAGCACAGGAAAATGCATGCAGGAAAAAAGTTGGATTTCGGTGGGGAAACAACTAAGCGCTCATTATTCTCTGCTTTTCACCAGTGAGTTTTATTGTATTGGAAATGGGCATAGTACTTTTATTGTGCTAGGAGGAATAATGAGTTAAGTGCAAAGACCTGCATTTTTTGTATAAATTCTGCAAATTCTCGGGGACTTGCCTTCTTATTGCATTTTAATCCTTAGGACCTTTTGGGAGAGTAATTAAGAGGACAGTAAATGAATTAGGACTTGGGCAAAACCTACAAAGTATTTTTATTTCATGTAATTCCAGCTTTCTTAAGAATATTGTTTGCATGTATATGATTATACAAATGAATTCAAAATTGCTCTTCTAATCCATAATTCAACTCCATGAATATTCACTGAGTACTGCATCGAGTGGCAACTTGTGTGTGTGAATGAGCCATCACTGAACAGCTACCACAGTGAGAACTTTCTCATTCATACTTAATTTGGGCTGCCATTTAGTGCGTAATCTTCACAAGGTAGCTTGCATAATATAATTAAATTAAAAACAGCAGTATTAAAAATGATCTAAGAAAATTAAAAAACAAGTAGCGTAAAAACCAAACACCTTTAATCAGGAGTTCCCAAACTGTTTTCTGTGGATCACCAGTGATCCATGTGCTTCGCTCGGGTGGTCCATGGCATGCCAGTATTAAATATCCATATTGATTTTAATTATATATTTTTATTGCTTATTTTATTTCTTATACTATACTTAATGTATTACAATTTCAGTTATATGGAATGCAAATTAAAATACAATACAAGAATTAAAAGAAGCAATAAAAATACAATTAAAAATCATACAGCATCTAGCAAAGTGCATCAGAATTGCCACAACAGGCAGAAAAATCATTAAGTCCACCAAGACCCTCAACAATTTTCAAGTGGCCTGTAGAGGAAAGAAACTGGGAAGTGCTGCCTTAAACCATTTTACAGCAGCACACCAAAAGATCTATGTTGCCCTGGTGCTTTTCAATAGAGCCATTTCACACATTCAGCTGCAAATAATCTGGTTGGCAGTCTTAAGTATTCTTGCCAGGAAGTCTGTCACTGATTGAACTTTAAGGATTGAACTGTAAGCACAGAGCCATCAAGTGATGCAAGTGATTGTATGAATTGGACTAAGTAGCTCATTCCTTTTTGCTTATCTCTAACATGTTAAAATGTTCAAAGGATCAGCCCTTATGATTCTCTTACAGAATGATAGGAATTACCTGCGCTCTGGATTTAGCCAGTGTTACGCCACAAATTAGTAATGAAAATTCAGTATTTCATATGTATCTTCTCCTTGGTATTTTGTGCAAAATATTTTTCCCCTTGGTATTTCGTGCAAAATATTTTTTTTTCTTCGTTTTGGGTTTTGACTTACTTTCTGATGGTTCCCAATAAAAAATATTCTATTCTGGTAGCAGATAAAGCATTGGACAATATCCAGCTGAGTCATCGCTTGAATTAGACCCATTGAAATAAATGGACTAAAGTCATTTATTTCAATACATCTACCCTAATAATGAACATCATTCAATGCATTAAATCACCAAATTTTCAAGTGTGTGTGTGTGATTTCTTGTCAGTGCTTTGCTTGCACATGAAAATAGAAAAACGTGAAGAGTGGCTTTGGGGCACAATTTTCCCTTGGTTTATAAGCAAGGGCTATTGACTTTCTTTTGAAATAGTTGATAAATGTATACATTTGTAGAAGCTTAACATGTTGGCTGGAGGCCAAAGCCTAATAGCAGAGTAAGATTCTTTTAAAGATGTAGCTTATACTTTGTAATATTTTGCTTATGGTATTTCTGTTGTGTGCAGCTAGTCAACCTTCTTTCAAATGGGGGACAAGCTGTCCAATTTCAGCCTTTTAAAAATCTGTTGATCTTAATGTTAAACACAAGTTTAACTATTCCATTGAATTCAATGGGTTGTGTTGTACAATCTCAAGTATGCTTATGAGAAAGTAATTTTCCAGTGGGGCTTACTCCCTAGTAAGTGTGCTTGTGATCAGACACTTAACTTTGGCTGGGTTACACCTTAAAATTTAATTTCTTCTTCAAAAACAAATTTTCATGTTTTTTGAGTTTAAATTAAAACTATTTATAATTTTTAAGTGTTTAACTTTCTCTGCGTCAATACCATGAGGCTGAAATCTATAATATATTCTTCTTAAAAGCAATTCTCTGAAGAACTGGTAGCAGTTCACCAAGCTTCCAAACTGAGTATTAAATGAGCTATGTTAGTAGAAAGTAACAGAGTTAAGGGAAGAAGGTATTTTTATTACGCCGGATTAGACAAAAGTTCTGCCAGCCTCCTCAGTTTTATCTCTTCAAGGGTTCATTTTGCTTGTTTGGCACAAGTCCCAGCGGAGAACTTCAGAATTGTGGTTAGCGACATGAATGAATACAATTTTGGATGAGCTCTTCAGTAAGTTGAACTGGCCAGCTGCCAAAACTGAACTTCCTTATAAGGGGGTTGGGGCAGAGCTGTGATTCACGGAGCCCAACATTGTATAGAAACGTACTTGTAATGGCTGTGTTTTCTGTAAAATAAAACAAAAACAAAAACTTGGTTTCCTCGTGTAAATGAAATAGGAAGTAACCAAATAGTGTGCAGGTTTTACTAATGATAGAGCACAACAAAGGAAATATGACTCTATGCGGTTAAACTATAAAGCTGGAAGTTGGATCTTTTGACCTTCATTGCCTTCTTGTGATGTAAGGAACCCAAGCATTTGTGAGACATCTGTTGTCTACCTGCCCTTATTCTGTAAATGGTTTAATAAGATTAAATAATTAGGAAAACCACACGGTCACCATGCAGCCAAGCCCTGGTATTGCCTGCGTCCTTTGGAAATGTGAGCAATTCTGTGTTACCCAACATTTTGTAGCAGTTACTTTGAAATGGTAGCTCATGCCATTTCTGGGGCGGATTAGTTTGGATGTTGCAATGCTCTACAGCGGTGTTTTCCAAAGTGTGATACATGTATCCCCAGGAGTATGTGCAAGGCTTACGGCAGAATTCTTTTATTTGACTTTCTTGTTGTTTTTTAGCTTTTCAAAAATATGTATTGTTAAAACTACCCCCAAATTATCTGTCCCGCTATTTTAAGTTTGGGAAACACTCTTCTACGATATCATAAAGTTGGAAATGTTTGTTTAGTTTTCAAATATATTTCTTTGGTTCTAAGCTTGATTTGAAGACTGTACGTGTGTGATATTCTTGACTGCCTGTGTTGAGTTTGTGACACTTTAAAGTGATGCATTATTAGGTTTTTCTCTGCAAAAGTATAAACATATTTTAATTTTATTTTTGTATAGGCAAATACCCTACCTGGATCTTCCCTCAGCCTGCCTCCATCTCATACGTATGGCAATAGGCTGAACCCCACCTCAACAATGGGAGCACTTACATCTCAGTCTGAAAACAGTCAAACAGGCAAGATAAAGATTTTCAAAATGTCTCTTTTGCACCGTATCTTTTAAAAGGAGATTTTTTTAGCTAATTCCTTCTTCCTTTTGGTTCAGCTGCATGTTTAACAGCTTGCTGCATTTTGGAAATGAATGCTGCTTTACTGCAGAAGTCATTGCTGTGTATCTTCCACTGTCTGAAATGTAAATGTTTAAGCAGAGCCATGAGCAAGCAGGAATGCAACAATGTCTCCTGTGACTTTTGTGATTGATGCGTTCAGTTCTCTTAGTTCTCTGCAATGAGGGGAGAGCAGCGCTGGGGTTTGTTGTGAATAGTTTAAACCTTTATTTGCATAATTCATGAAATTGCACGATATACAAGTTTGTGTGACCAAGATCCTGTTACGCAAACTTTCGCAGTGTTTTTAAAAATGATGATTTTTTTTTAATAGTATTGGCTTAAAAAGAAAAAAATAATCTAATGAGCTGCTGGATTTGCTTTGTTTCATTCCATCCTTAAGGATTTGTTGACATGTCGTAATAGTCATGCCTGTTTGGGGGAAGGGAATGAGTTTAGCAGTTTACCAAGAATGGATCAGTCATGTCTTGCCCTCTAAGAGGCCAGAGGTCATTTGCTGCAGAATAGGGGGAGGGCAACCTTGAAGGGGGCAGATAGGGTTATTTTATTGAGAGGCCATAGGGAAAAATAACCCTTTTGAGTCCTACCAAGCAAGACGCTTCCATGTATTTAATGATACATTTGAAACACATCTCATATTCTCCATCTTTCTTTTTCTTCACTTTTAAAGTAATAGGCATTAATTTTTTTAGAAGAATAATGTATGCTTTAACATTTGTTAGTGGAACTTCTGGGGAAAAAAGTTACTGATAAGAAGTAAATATACAGGGCGGTTTATGGGTATTCCTGGGATGCAAAGTGTTAACAAAAATACAAAGCCTGGGGATTTGCTGTGATAAGCATACAGATTAGCTGTCCACAGCTGTGATTCATTACTTTCGCTGCAGAAATTAAAAGTGGCTGAGGGGAGGGTACTGGAAATGCAAGCCATGCTTCTGTGCTATAAAACTGAAAGCAATGAAAGGACTGAGGCTAATCCTTGGCCTGCTCCGCTCAGAGAAATGTGTGCGGACAATGCCTTCCCCTCTGCAGTTAGCAGTTTTAAACTGGTAACCTTCTCTAGTGCTACTAGCAACTCACAGATACTGGATTACATTTTGAAAGGATCTCCCTATCTGCAGCATCTTAAAATATTATCTCGGAAAGAGTCACTCTTGGCTTTGAAATATTTACTCTGCAGATCAAGATCTTGGAGACAATAGCCGGAGCCTTGTGGGCAGGGGAGGTTCACCCAGAGAAAGCCTTTCACCACGGTAAGCAGTATTTACACTCGCGAGTTAAGGCAAAGGAAATATTCTTTAAGGCATGGAAACTTTTATCTCTTATCAGCCATGCTTTCATTTAGGCTGAACAGAATTGTACAGATTTGTGTCTAGAGGGGTAAAGAAAAATGTTCCCAATATCAACTTAACAGGATTAACTAATAAAATAATATATTTTACCTCTGGTATGAAAATGGCTTTGGGGAATTCCACATCCCTCCAATTGTTACATAATCTTGGCTCACCTATATGGCTAGTTGATTATTTGTATGTAAAATCCTGTGTATAAGCAGCTACCAAATGTCCATATATATATATTTTAAAAAAGAATGTTAAATGTAAACATTTTATATGTTAAATGTGTTTTTTTTTAATGTGTTAAAGAAAGAAAAAAATAGGTAGTTCAGGAAAAGGGAAAGTTCTTCCAGAGGCAATGAAATCTAAAATGTAGACATGACCAGAACTGAAACACTGGTCACCAGAATTTAATCACTTTATGCTGGTGTCTTTGTTTAAAGAAATAGTATTTGCTGTTAATTGTCATGTAAAGATGGTATTGCACTGCTTGTATATTGACTTCAGTGGGAATTTTTTTTTCATAGTTATTTGTTGGCATTCTTAAACTTTTTGCTTAATGATAGAATAGCACTATGTGCTGCTGCTGCAGTATCAGCAGTCATTTAATAAGTTGGTAATAAATAAAAAACATTGTTAGTGGAGGCATGTCAATGTCCCATATCTAATCAGAAGTGCTGTGTCATGTACAAGAGTAAATGAACTGTAAAGTGAATGTTAGTGATCTGTGGCCTGATTTTCAAGAGCTTGCAAATCCCAAAGACTGACTGAAAATATATTCACTTCTGAAGAATCAGGCCAGTATTGTCTTAGGGACAAATCCTCAAAAGTCTTATGAAGATGGACTGTGACAGATTGCAAATTAAGCCTTTTACGTATATAGATCTATTTCCTTAAACATCTTTATCTCTGTTGGAGCTGTTTGTAGGGTTCCATTGTGCGTTAGTTAGTTAAAATTAAATAAAACAGATAATGTAATGTATTTTCTTATTATTAGTGTTGCAGCATACTAAGCCTTTTGATTGATTTTTTTGGTCTGGTAAACATTTGGATTATTGGAAAACTTTTTATTTAGGTATTTTATTAGGGTCTTGTCCCTTTTCAGAACTCTTTCATAAATAGAGGAATAATAGCACAGAATACACAGAAATTCTCCTTGTTTAAGTACCATTGATTTCACTAGAATTTAGGTTTGCTTCAGGTCTTTATGGATTATGGCCTAGCACTCAACTCTTCTTCAGATATATTTGTTATTTATGGATTATATGTAATTATAACAAAGTGAAACATTATTAACATAGGCTTGCAAATAAAATGCTATCTATGCTTATATGAAACAACTTGGCATATGTGCACTCCTGTAGGTATAAAACACATGTTAAAAATGTGTTAAGATTATAAGTATTTTGATTTTATGAAACCCTTCAGTTTTATCCCATTCTGTTTTATAATACACTAAACAGAGTGCAAAATTGTGTATAAGACCACACATCTGTCTCTGACACTGTACATGAAACAATTGAAAGGGACAATGTATCTTTTAATTACACTCCACTATTTTATATATAAAAACTGCCAGTTTAGATCTATCCAGTGACCTTTGGTAAACCTAGTGCTCTGTCTAATTGTTCGGGAAATATGCAGGTATGGGATGATCTGCTCTTTGCAACCCCCCCCCCCCAATTCCTGACATTCAAAGGGTTTAGATTTAGTGCAGTCTACTAAGCATATATGCCTGTATAATGCACAATCATTAACATAGAGCTTATGCAGATCTCCCACAATGCATCCAAATAAGTGAATGGAGGTTTGTGCAGCAGTCGACTCTGCACCCTTTGAGACTATGTGCAGAAGTGCTCTGGTCACATTGGCTAATAACCACAGATTAATATGTTTAATACTGTATTTTAACCAATGTAGTATATTGCCCCACTTCTGTGATACAATTGTAGATTTAGTATACTTTGTAAGGAAGAACAATGGATTTGGTGTCATGTAATTCTTGCATTGTACTGAAGAGTATATAGCAGTTTTATATCTACTTTACCCTGTTTATGATCTTATACATTTCCATACTATGAGCTCTGAATTTTCCTTCAAATAGTGTAATTCTTGATTGGATTTAATCTTATATGGAAGATGTTCTGTATTCCACTAGTGCTATTAAGCATTCTATAGATATAATTTCTTATTAGAAAAAAATCATTTGGTATAATATGCGTACTTTCATAATGTGGATTTATACAGAGTTACATAATTCTTTGTGTCTTTTCTCGCCCTTAATGCTTTCTAGCATCCCATTTCACTTGACTCCAGCTCTATAGTTAGTTATCATCAAGATTTGCTTACTTAGAGGGAACCACTTACACAATTTTAGGTTATTTATTTTCTGGCTAGGATTTTCCCCAGCATGCCCACTTGCGAAAATGAGATTTCTGTCTGCTATTTTAACTTGTTTTGTTCTTTAAGAACAGCTTTTAACTGTTTACAAGGGTGTAAAAATGAAGTGGAATAAAAAAATATAAGATACTTTTAAATCTGATCTTTGTCACTTGCCACTTGCTTTTCTTATTGAGTAATTTCACTGATAGTATCCTGCAGAAGATCTAGAGTCCAACTGAATGTTAGCTGTTTATGAAATAATTCACACTTTGTGTTCATTTCCTTTTTGCCTGTTTCTTCTGATTACCAGCTTTGATTTTAAACAAAATATTTCCCAATGCAGGATGTTGCTGGTGATCTTTTCAGTACAAAAAACACTGTATATCCTATATACCAGGCCAGAAAACAAGACTTTTGTGGTCTTGCTTTCTGTTACTGTGTTAGTTCTCCTGCATGTTTCTCAGAAATTCTCTTAATTTCTATGTGCTTTAAACTAGATTAAGTAAATGTGAGATGAAACTATTTTTGTTACTTGGAAATAGGGGCATAGATTCATTAGTTACATGCAGTAATAGGCTGAATATTGAATTCCTGGTCAAACCAACAGAGATTATGCAATATGGCAATAGGAAGAGTTGGATCCAAAGCCCGTTAAATTCAATGCAGCCCTGATACTGATATAAATGGTGCCACATTAAGACAGAAGTTACATGTACCTATTTTAAATAGTAGGTAGCTTTTTACGTGCCCTCTACTCCAGCTAAGGCAGAGTGCTGGGGAAAATGCTTTGTGCTGTCATGTTCAAGAATCTATACTTGAAAACTGGGAATGTCAGAAGGAAATTGCAATATTCTTGTAATTAAGTGGACAGGAAGTATTTGAATTCACCAGCATCTTGGGTCTATATACATTTTTAATTTTTAAGATGAATTTAAAAATGTCTGAAGTATAATTTTGATAGGAAGCTGCTGTAATGTTATCTCTCGACTCTGACACAGGAAATGCTTGGCACTCAAAAGACTCAATGAGGTCACAGTCTTCAAAGAAATTGTAACGTGCTCTTGGTTTGTGTGTGTTAATTTTTTTTTTTTTTAAGAAACAAAAGTTTCCAAATTGTAAAAGTGTCTGTCACATTACATGCTGACCAGGATTTCCTGTTGTGACCTAAATTAGCTATACTGTCTACATGTGCCTTTAATTTCTTGCATGTCATATTGACTGCTGTTATACTTAAGGTTTTTCTTTAGTATAGTGTCTTAATCGCTTGGTTCAGTTATACAGAGATCCTATACTACATCATACAGAAGCCTTGCCTTTTAAATAGAGATTAATAGCATGGTACATTCCTCTTTTCTTTAGTTATTCATTGGGCTAGATTCCAAAGATATTTGATGATCAAAATATAAGTATTTGAATGGCATAGTCATTTTCTTCCTAAAATCTCACGCAAGCGTATTTGTGCAAAATTTCATAAACTATGGAGGACCTCGGGAATTTGACAAGTATGTTATTGACTGGCATTGTATAAAGGTGTTGCTTGTTTATCTACATATATATCTTCTGTAGAGCTCTTGTAGTTGATTATATCAGCAAAACATTCCATCAGCTGATGAAGTTTGCATTCATCTGGGCACTGTTAAATTAGATTATCCAAATAAGAGAAGCTTTGTATTTTGAACAGAAATTTTCTAAGAACTGTTGTCATGCTGGGATTTTATTTTAAACCATTGTTGATGGGAGCCAGTAAGGGATCTTAAGGAATGTTGATTTGCAAGGGGGTTAAGGAGCAGCTAAAGAAAGTAGATGGGTCTTTTTATGTGGGGTTCTCCTCCCTCCTCTTCCTTTTAAATATAATTTATAATCTTCCTACAGGTCGCCTGTAAGTAATTTACAGATTCGTTATGATCAGCCAGGGAATAGCAATGTGGAGCATTTGCCCCCGGTACCAGTTACTATAGAGCAACTTCTGGAGAGGCAATGGAGTGAAGGGCAGCAGTTCTTGCTAGAACAGGGCACCCCGAGTGACAGTAAGTACTTCACACTGTCTTGCCTGAACATTGTTAACCATGTATGGCCCCCTTTATGTAATATCCAACAGAGAAATGTTTTCTGGTGAGTATGGGTTAAATGTGTTTAAACATGGTTCTGGCAGCTTCTCCCCATCTTGGAATGAAAAAATGCTTGCCTAAAATGTTGGCCAATGACATTTTGCTCCAGAACCTTGACAACCGGGGAGATCTGGCTAGTGGGTTACAGCAGATGTGGGAACATTTTAATAATAATAATAATAATAATAATAATAATAATAATAATAATAATAATAATTTATATATGTGGCCTAAATGATTGCCTGAGCCCCTTTTGAGAAGCAATTTTCTATTTGTAATCCAAGCATTTAAATATTTGAAATGGCAAAATTAATATTTTTAAACAATTAACAAGAAAACATTGAGCGTGCTTCCCTGGTTGTTGATAGTGAGAGAAGTGCCATCTAGTTGGTATTTTTTTTTTATGAATGGTACCCTGACAAAAATGCTAATTGTGAGGAAATTCATGCAGGGATAATCCTTTAAACATGATAGCTGGAGGACAGGTTTAGCTAAGTCTTACTACATCACATTTGGGCACACTGAGAGTTCCTTTGTATGTTCTTGAAGAGGAGGGATAAAAAAGCTAAATCCTTGGGAAATGACCAGATGTGCCTGTACCAGTAGACTGGCGTCTGTATTAGGCCCAGAGGTCACGTTGAACAAGTACAATTTACAATTTAAAAAGTAGCTTTTACTGTGTTTTAATCGCTAAACTATCTTGCATGCGGGCTGATGCGAAAGTCCCAAAATTCACCCAAAATCCAAATTTGAGAGTCGAGAAGATGGTATTTGGCTGAGGATGTGCTTTATCTGCAGGGAGAGGGCAGAGACTGCAGGGATCCTCTTGCTCCCTGCTGGGTGCTCTTTAGAGGGACATTGAAAGCAGCTGGAGTCTGTTGATTTAAAAGCAATAAAAACAGAGTAAAAGTTTTCATTGATTACATAAATTTGCAGGTTTTTTGGCCAATGAGTCAACAAATCAGCCCCCCCCCCCCCAAAAAAAAGAAAGGAAATTTTACAAAACTGTTCTGTGAGAGCATAATAGCATCTAAAACTTTTGTACAACCCAAACTGAGTATCTTTTTCTTGAACAATTACTTGGCAGCAGATGCTCCTGACGGAATCTTTCCTTTAGAAAAGTGATGGTTAACTGAAAGTGTGTGCACTGCCATTTGTTTATGGCCATTGGTAGGGACAAATGAGAGTGGGTTACAAAATTCTTTGTGCATTAAGCCGGGTACAGAAGTCAGACTTTGTCCTCTGAAATATGTGTGTCATATTAAGAAGCTTATGCACTTGGGACTTCCAGAATATGTGACTGCACAGGCATGCACTGGGTTACCTGGAGGATATACACAGCAGAGATGGGGATAAACAGATGTGTATGAATTGACCCCTGTAGTTCTCACCATGCCTAACTTCAAAGGGAATTTAGAGCATTTTTCACCGCTTTGCCTGTCTTTCTGATAAGGACATATCTTAAAAAGAAGTTACTAGAGAAGTAAAAAGGTACTCTCTAGTAACTGATTTGCTAGTAGTGTCTTAGATTTTTTTAAAAAAATATTCCAAGCTGGAACAATGTATGCAGTTATTATGTTAAGAAATAGCACCTTTCATTAGAATTTTTCAGGGACTTGGATTGATTGGTCGTATTTTGGTCAGTTTTAGGTATGCTGAAGTCATTGCACCAGCTTCAAGTTGAGAACCGACGCTTAGAAGAACAGATTAAAAACCTGACTGCTAAAAAGGAACGCCTCCAGCTCCTAAATGCCCAGCTTTCAGTTCCTTTCCCAACAATAACCTGCAATCCGAGTCCTTCACATCAAATACATGCATTTTCAGCTCAGGCTGGTAAGGCAACAGAAGTCGTTTTTGTTTTTAATGCAGAGCTCTGTCACAACTTCCAGAAAGCTTTTGGCCTCTTACTATTGCCTGTTATCTGTATGAGAAGGAAGCAAATTGGATGTTTCTACTGTTTTTAGTCTATATTTTGACCTGTAAAATCAGTAATTTCTGAGAACATTTTAAAGAGACTATATGTTGGCCAGGTGAAACTTAGAGATGAAATTAATTTAAGTACTTCTGCTGGCTGTGGATTCATATTGAACAGCAAAAAAAGCAGAAGTAGATCACTGTTAGTCCATATATTTAATATAACATTAATTCACTTTTATTTAAGTTTTCCACATTGAATTAGGTTTTATGCCTTTTGGGTGCAGAAACAGAGATTTTCTCACACTCGTTTGTTTTTAACTCCTGCTTTTAGCTGCTAGCACTGATTCTTTGAACAGCAGCAAGAGCCCTCATCTGGGAAGCACCTTTCTACCTGACAATTCCCTTCCTGTATTAAATCAGGTACTGTTTGTTTTCTTTTCCATGCATCCTAAGACTTCTGCTAGGTTAATAGTGCATCTCGATTATTTGCTTTTGTGTGAAGTTTGATGCAGCTGAGCCTTTGTGTTTTCACTAGGAGATCAACTCCAGTGGACAAAGCACCAGTAGCTCCTCTGCTCTTTCCACTCCCCCACCTGCTGGGCAAAGTCCAGCTCAGCAAGGCACCGGAGTCGCAGGAGTTCAACAGGTCAATGGCGTGACAGTGGGGGCACTTGCCGGCGGAATGCAAACTGTAACATCCACCATTCCTGCCGCCGTTGGTGGAATAATTGGAGCTCTGCCAGGTAACCAGCTGGCAATCAATGGAATTGTTGGGGCTTTAAATGGGGTAATTCAGACTCCTGCCACAATATCGCAGAACCCTTCTCCTCTCGCTCACGCAACTGTGCCACCAAACGCAGCACATCCTCTGCCAACTACACTGAGTAGCAGGTAAGCCTTTGCTCTTGTTTGTCTTTTTGGCTCATATTTGCTATTCCCACCCCCTTCCTTTTTTAAGTCTGTCTAAAATAACTGCTTTTTCTTGAAAGTACTGAGGGAAGAGCTTAAAAATAGTGAAATGCTTACTGTGTTCGAATTTCCTTTTGCATGTGAATAGGAAACTTAGCAGTCATTCTCTCTTGCAGCAGCTGACTCCTAAAACATAGGATTAATTTCTATGATTTTGTTTTGAGCATGGAGTGTGTGTTCATCTGTGCATGTTCTTGTTTGTTTTGTTTTTTGAACAGTCACTTCACAGTTTAGATGCTTTCTCCCAAGTTCTCCTCTTAACCGTCTGCACTGCCACAATATGCTCCCTCCAGCTTAGCTTGGGGGCTTATACTGCATGAGTTGACTGGACAACGGGATATGTGATGTAGCTATTCTATTTCCATGACATGTTGCCATGTTCCTTAGTTAATCAGGCTGTTGAAATATCTAGCTGCAAGGGACACAATTCTGCTGATTGTGCTTCTGGTCGTCTGTTCAGTCACCTGGGTTTTACACCTGGACAGACTTTGTTTTGGAAAAATCTAGAACTAGGCTTGCATTTTGGCAGACTGCTTTCCCCTGCTGTCTGCACATGCTCTAAGTATATGTTCCCACTCAGTTCTTTTTTGACTGCTACAACAGTAACACCATATGAAACACTCTTGTTTGGTTAGCATCTATCTCAGTGTATTGGATAACTTCATTTATCCTGTGTTTTGCATTGGCATATTTATTTTTCTTCACTGTACCTTTCTGTGCCCTTTCTGTCTTTTTCTTTAGCATATTGCTTTAAAGGCAGTCCCTTTCCATAAGTATCTGTCTTGCATTGGCGAGGGAATGAACACTTTTGACTAAGCAGCCACTCTTTTGGCCTTCTCGGTCCCAGAAGGCCATGTTGTTGAGACCTGGGAGCAGTGCTGGTTTCTTACTAGGTGATGCTGGAGAAATGGTTGCATCCAGGTTTTGGGTTCTCCTTTCCAGAGCAAGCACTGCTGGCAGCCAGCATAAAGCCAGGGCCTCAGCCTTGTGCTCCGCCCTGGTTTCATCAGCTGCACTTCCCATAGCTGGCAGTCCTGCTATGTCTCTGCCTACTGGCAGCACCTTGATAGTGCAGTAGAGGCACCCTTGGCACAGAAACTCTCCATGTCTGCTTCAAGTTCACTGATGGACTGTGTTGCCCATTGTAAACAGCTTTCAGTGTGTTTTTTCTAGAAAGTGCAGGATGAGTGCGTGTACTTTTTCAAACTTGCAAGTAAGCATGAGGAAGTCATCTTTCTCTCCCACCGCTGGGTTTTTGTGCATGCAAAATGTGGGTGAGATTAAGTCCTGCATTTGGTTTTGCAAGTATGAAAAAAAAGGGGGGGGAGAACTACTGCTAATTTGTCTTCAGAATTCAGGGGGGATTAAGTACTTCCCTTGTTTGGCTGCATTTATACTTGGATCTGTAAATGTAATCTGAAATGACAAGAACGCCAGTTTTGTTTTTCCTAAGTTAAGATACATCAAAGTTTTAAAATAATTTTAATAGGATGTATAATCAAATGCATCTAGGCACATGCATGTTAATCTGCATATATTTAATGTTTTAGATAATTTTTTTTAACTTTTGCTGAAAGAGTGCCATAAAAATGATCAAGGAGCTAATTCACCAGATAAATGCATTTCCAGTTAAGAGTTTGTTTGTAATTTGCAGTGCTTCTGGACTTGGGTTTCTTCCGGAGCAACAGAGACAACTCCTGCTACATCAACAGCACCAGCAATTTCAGCAGTTACTGAATACTCAACAATTCACACCAGTGAGTCTCTTTTTATCGTCCCTTTTATTTCCAGAGTTCGGGGGCAAGTGTTGATGTTTATGTAGCTAGTTTGGGTCTTGTTCTAAATCTTGTCACAAGCTTCAAAAAGCTGCTCACAGAGAGGGACCCAGGGAAAATTATAGAACCGTTTTTACAGGTTTCTCTAAGAGAAGCACAAAAGGCTGCTTGAGCTTTAAGCAGTTCAGAATCTTGGATGAGAAGTAGATGGCTAGATGCATTTTGGTGCCTGAGGTATCATCAAAAGGACTTCTGCAAAAAACAGCACCACCTAAATCGAAGCAAAGTCAAACTGCTGTGTTAGCAGCACTGAAGTGACCTCCCCCGGGTGCAGGCCTGGGCGGTGTGTGTGTTTGAGTGGAGGTTCTGAGATGACAAGACCCCCCTCAGCTTCTCTGTGGTCCAAAGGAAAGCAGAGCAATACATTTGGCACCAGCTTGGCTGCAGGACTTGCTGGAAGGAGGCATGCAAGGCACCATCCAGCCATATCACAAAATTGCCACCTCTTTGCCAAGGGCCAACCATACCTTCAATTGTACAGATGTAGATGTTGGAACAAATGTAATTCCAACAACTCACCACATAAGCCATGCATGCCTCCCATAACTCTAGAAGAGCAAAGACAGTGCACCCATGACTTTGCCTGTCCCATTCCTTCCAACCCGTCACTATCTCCCATTTATTGGAGAACAGAGGGCTGGCTCACTTTGCTCCACAGGAAGTGGAGTGGGCGTCAGACTGGAAGAGGAGATTGTCTCCTCAACCTCTTTTGCTACTGTAGAACTGTTACAACATGCTTCAACCTGGAAGGATTTCTCTTCAGCTTGAAAGATGTTTATGGCATTGGTACAAAATAAGAGGCAAAGATATTCCTGAGAGATTTGTAGACATACAAACTTGCAGGCACATTGTGTTCTCTTTCACATGCATACATTTTTGAACGGGGTACCAGGATGTGGGGGTAGACTATAAGCACCCTGAAGCTAATCAATCATTTACATTCACAATCCAGTATCAACTGAAGACAGATACACAAGTAATGTTTTATCTTATAGCTCTTTAGAAAGGTGCTTACTAGATCCTGCCGCCTGTTAGTTCTCCAAAAGAAGTTTTTAAATTTAGCTTCTGACACAAATGCTTTTGTACATCCAAAGTCTACTCTGTTGAAAAGGAGGAAAAAAATGTATACTGGATTCTTAGATTGGCTTAGTCAGGAAGAAGACAGGGGCTTTCAGATATCTCTGTTGCACTACCCTTTAAAGTTTTCTCTCCCCTAGATTTGTAGTCCATAGCATGACTTTCTGCTTTTCCTGGTTCACGTCTTTGTTTCTGCATCCCACTTGTCTACTCAAAGTTGTGTTTTGGTTCTTGCAATAAATTTATTCAGTGCCTGCCAGTATGCTTCATATTTAAGCAGGGATGTGAACTGGACTTCCCTGTATCAAAGCTCTGCTCTTAATTGTGGCAAAACATTAGTTCTGAGCAGGCAAGGGACCTCTCCAACAACAGCAGCTTTAAGAGGCTAGTTCTGGCTGCTCTTCTGCCTTGAAGCTGTGGAAAAGTCAACTACAGTCATTTTAAATCTAAACTACAAAAAAGTGTGTGTAAATCCTGGATAAGGGAGGAGTTACTTCACTCACAAGTTTAGTTTTCACCAGTTTTGGCTACTCATTTTTCTGAATGCAAGAAGAAACGTGTTCTCCCATAAAATGACTAAAACTTTCCTTCTCCGTTGTACTTGAGGAACAGCACCAGGCTCTTCTGTATCAACTAGTTCAGCAGCAACACCACCAGCCTGAAGTACAACAATTGCAGATTTCTGGAGCTACACAGATTCCCATCAATAACTTGCTGGCAGGCAATCAGGCATCCCCACTTCATACAGCTACGAGTAACCCATTCCTTACCATTCATGGGGATAACACAGCTCAAAAAGTAACGGTAAGTACATACGTGTACTGCTCATATAAGCAAATTCAAGTGCAGGAGAAGGTCTTAACTAGGTAAGGTTAAAAATACCAACCCCAAGGGAAATGTTTATATTAAAGATTAAATGGAGAGAGGAAATCCTGTTCAGCTACAAGGGTATGACTGAAATGAGTGGCTTGAACTGTCACATCTACTTTGGCATCCAGTCCTTAGAATGAGAACCCCTCTGGTCCCTGCCTAGTAAAGCCTTCAAGCTCACCCCTCACTAGGATAATGTTGCAGCTCTTCTACTTTTCCAGGGGACAGCAAGGGCATTTGTTGCTACAGTTGCACTTGTGTGTGTGTGCGCCATTGCTGTGTTTCGACCACATGCTGCTAGTTGTTGCTTTGTACCAGCCGTGGGGGTATTTTTGCACTTTTAGCACCATCTAGTTACAATACACAGCATAGTGAACTCTAGCACTGGAACATTAGCACAAGAGAGGAAAGAACCATCTTTCTGCGTTGGCACTGCCCATTACTGTTATCTAGCTTTCTAAATTTCACTGTTAAATTTATTTTTTCAGAAAAGCTGTGTATGCTGTTCCTTTGATAGGACTTGGCTCAGTAACATTACCTTCATGTCTTAGTAATTAACCACTGCTTTTGAATAGGGCTAGCCACCAATCTTAAAGAGTTAGTAACCAATCAGCAATTACCTGATCAATTAATCAGTATTGCAGATTATTTGCATATTTCCCAAAACTCATTGAATGTGATATTTAGTGACAGAAACAAATAGGAAAGGCCGTTTTTAGTAACCCCCCCCCCCTTATTTCCTCACATACCAAACCCAAACTATCTGTAAAGGTGCTGCTTCTCAGTTGGAACAGTAGAAGTAAATGAACAGTGAATACATCTGCATTCATTATTTCATAATGAAATGTGTGCTTTGTTTCCTAAAAATCCTGTAGATATTAATTCAAATTGTGTGTACTGTGGAGAAAACATAAACTGGCTGAATACAGAAGCAGCTTATGAGAGCTTTTAGGTGGTGGTTTGCTCCCCCCCGCCCTAGTGACGGGAATGCAGGCTAGAGACCAAATGTCATCCTTTTATGTCAAAAGTTTTCATTTTATGTTTCTTCTCAACCTTAGGAAGTTTTGCCATACATAAAAACAACAAAACATCTCTCTCTTTTGATGCATTACCATTTTGTTTTATAATTTTTTTTTTAAAAAACACCCTGATAATGTGACACAATTGTACACTGGCATGACATGTTGATTTCGTCTCCAGAGACTCAATGATAAAAGTGGACCAGTTGCACCGGAAAAGAATTGACATTTGGAGAAATAAAAACACGAGAATTATGTGTCCTGCTGTGAGAGCACTTCATCAGTTTGCAAGTTGCAGACTCTCTGCAGGTATGACTCAATGCAACAAGGAGCTAACTGCACACTGGAAAAGCGAATCTACCTGAAGACATTTATTGTAAGGCTTTGACCTTGTTGCTTTTTGTTGCACTGAACCTTAACTGTTTTCTTCCAATTTCATGGAACTTTTAAAGTATTTTTGCATATTAGAGTTGTCAGTTTGGGCCATTTGTTTGACTTCTGCTGCTGAACTAGTAGCCTTTTAACATACCAGAGTGCTAATGAACAGACTGTCTGTCCCTGCCTGTTCCAGATCCATTACTTGTTTGAAGAAAGCAAGCCAAATTGCAGTATCTGCCAATGGCAAGTTGTTACTGTTTAGCTAAACACCAGTGGTTTTTTTTTTAAAGAGGTACCAGTTCCCCCCCCCCCCAATAAAGGACCAGGTTTTAAACTTTTTACTCCCACCCCCAGTTAACTTTAATGGATGTTTTGCTAAAGCAAGAAGTCTCAAGTAATGACAAATGGTGGCTAATGCTCAATTGGATTTTTTTTTAAGGTTGCTGGAAAAAAACAGATCAGTTCAAAGATGATAAATCTTACCAGACGAGAGGGCAACTCATGTTCTGGTAATATTTGAATTAACCCAAGTGCCTGTTGCTTACCTCTATTGGGTTGGAATTGCTTTGTATAGCTGGGCATGCACTAAACAAGTCTTTGTGAAAGCCGTCAGTGTGCTCAACCTTGCACCAGCAGCCGTCCCCATTGATCTGCCTTTATGAGAAGTGTTTGTCACTGTAGATAGCTCAGGCAAATTGTTACCTGGGTTGCTTTCCACTAATAAATTACCAAAAAAAGAAGGGGGGGGGAAGGAATTTCACATTTCTGAGGAAATGGTGTAAACGGGTGGATTTTTTTTTTAAAAAAATATTTTCACTTTGAATAGTTGATTTCCATGGTATGACTATGCAGTATAGCAGAACATAGATTGAGGTTGGGATTTAATGGCCACTAATCTGAATTTGTGTGAATTATTAGTGGAAAATACTCAAGTATACTTTAGACCTACACTGTGTACTTAATTGGATGAACCTATTGTTTCTGCAATATCGTTTGGTTAAACATTGCACAGTTCTTACCTCATTTCTGTAAATAAGGTTTTGTGACAGTTTTTTGTATTGTGGAAAATTCATAAGGTGGATATTTTGATTTGTAATATTTCTAATTGGTAGATTTAATTGAAAATGAAATAATAATTTATTTTTATATGTTCATGGGAATTTTTTTAAAAAGTCACAAATCACTTTTGTAGATAATTTACTAAAGTAAATCAGTGTGGTTTAATTTGCTTAAACCACTCGTTAATATTCTGTAACAATTTGTACAAATTGTTGCTGTTTTGCTAGATGTAAAATTGCAAGTTTATATAAGATATGTACAAAGCTTTGGTTAATAAATTTTAATATTGTTTATGGTTGTAAACATAACCCAACTTATTTCTTCCAACTGCAGTTTTGTTTTTTAATGATGTGCTTATCATTGGATTGTATTACACACATCGTTATGTGTGTGAATGAGAAGTCATGTTTTAAAGTCGGCATCTGAAGTTCCAGCTTCGCCTGATTTGCTGTATCTGGTAGGAGCCCATGCAGCACACTTAAAAAATGGGAATATTCACTAAATGTTCTATTCTGAACCACAGCTCTCACCAAACTTGACTATTGTGGCTTGAAGTCCCACAACAGTTTGAGGGCACCACGTTGATCATCCCTCCTTGTAGAGATTTTGGACTACAGATTTAGGGTGCTTTTAGGCCATGTTTTACTAATAGGTTTAAGTAATCGGTTCTCACATACTTACTTTTCTTGGGGAAAAAATCCATTGATCTTATAAGCACAAGTTTTAAAGGAAGGCATAAAATGTATTGATTTATTTTTTACTAAGGCACATGACATACTGAAATACTGAGGTACAAAAATACAAGTTACTGCATATGTTGTTTAAAATATCTCCATTTTCGGTAAGCAAAGTTGTTGAGAATGTTCATTCAGCTCTTTGCCATTTTTTTCTTTTGTATGAGTTCAACCAGCAACTTGTATCGAGTCATACATTCTTCCTGCAGGCAGAGAAGCAGAATTGAGATTAAAGGATAGTTCACTTTTGTTAAATGAAAAAGTATGCTAGCAATTTAAAGGGGCATTTTCTGGAAAACTGACAATGGGGAAAATATCCTAAATAGTTCATGTTATGGAATTTCTCAGTGTAAATGTGTCCATAGTGAGACAATTCCATGGGGAAAGTTGCCATACAGAGTGATCCCAGGTCCTTGCAGAGATTTCAAGTCCACTTTTCACAGCTACCGACTCACTGTTTTTACCAACCAACACATTCACACCAATTGTTTTTGCTCCCTTTCTGTGGGCTGTCAAACTATGCAAAAAGTTCTATTTCTATCTAAAAGAAACAACCTTGCTCACATTCATGTGGCATTTTGCATAACCTTCATAAAATAAAATTCACGTTAGTGGATTTTGAAATGTTTCTAACGGACCAACAGGACTTCGTAAAAGCAGCAACTGTTTGGAAAAACAATAAAAGTAACGAATTCCCCCCCAAAAAAGCAAAATGCCAGAAACTAACATTGGGCCTCACTATGTTAACTTCAGGGATGCGGGTGGCACTGTGGGTTAAGCCACAGAGCCTAGGACTTGCCGATCAGAAGGTTGGCGGTTCAAATCCCCGCGACGGGCTCGGTCCCTGCTCCTGCCAACCTACCAGTTCGAAAGCACGTCAAAGTGCAAGTAGATAAATAGGTACTGCTCCGGTGGGAAGGTAGGGAAGGTAAACGCCACTTTCGTGTACTGCCCTGGTTTGCCAGAAGCAGCTTAGTCATGCTGGCCACATGACCCGGAAGCTGTCTGCGGACAAACGCCGGCTCCCTAGGCCGACAGAGCGAGATGAGCGCCACAACCCCAGAGTCGTCCGCGACTGGACCTAACGTCACTGTTTTACCAGTTTAGAAGCAATGCTATACAGAACCAGCCCAAACCTCCAAAAGCCCTGCCTTGAAAGGAGCTGCATGTTAGCAGCTACAGCATTTAGCCATATGCAACACCTCATTCTCAGCAACATAAACTGAAGTGTATTCCCTCCCTCAGATTGAACTTTTGGCAGAATCAAGGAGGCGGCTTCAGCTTTTAGCTAGTGTACCACACCACACCCAACGGCAGAGTGTTTTAACCCTACATGAGAGCATGACCTCACCTTAGTTTTCCCTGGAACACATTTGGCAATCTTGTCCCAGCGTTCTGCTGTTCCCTTTGGATACTGCTGTAAGGCCAGCTCCAAAAGCTTCTGTTGATTCTGAGTCCACAAGTCTTCAGAACTGCGGCATCTCTCTCTTTTTCTGGCCTCCTCGTCGCTATATTCCTCTTGATCTGCAGTGTCAAAGTCCTTCTGGCGCTTCCCCCTACATTTGTCCTCTGCTGCCTCTTTCATCACTGGGGGTGTCACTTCAGGGCTCTTTGGTATTGTTTTCCTCCTGCGGTGTCTGGCTTCAGTCATCGCAGTCTCTTGTTGATCTGCTGTTGCCATATCTATTGGTTCTGGGTCACAACTGTACTTTGACATGTCCTCCTCCAGGTCTTCCTCATCTTTTTCCCGCTGAGTGATTATATGATCTGACAGGTTAACACTGGCCTTGTTGGATTTGGAGTTTTGGGCCAACATTTTCAGCTCTGACAGCCTAACGATACCTGTTGGAAAAAGCATCATTTTCAGCATGATTTAAGCCAGGGAAGGGGAAACTGATCCTATAGTATTCTTATTCTGCAACTGTTACCCCCCCCCAGTAAGTAATTGTTGAGTCAACTCTTGAAAAAAATCTGATACATCTACTCAAAAATCAAGAGTTCATAAAAATAATGAATTTGGGCTTCTGTTTTTATTTCCTCCTTTGTTTCCATGGTAGGCACACCTGAATTAAGCAATCCAGAAATAGCATCAATTAGGTATGATGCTAAAACATCTGGCACTGTTTTCTGGTTCCTTTGTTAACATGCACCTGCTACTGCACAATTTCCACTGGTTTGAAATGAATGAACTGCATTGCCCCTACTGCTAATAGTACCCTTAGTTATTCTGTGTCCTTTGCACTGCTAACCACTGAAGGGTAGAGCCTCATATTATCCACTTAATAAGGGCATATATAAAAGTCCCTTTCTGCCTGGATCATTTTATAGAAGAGGCAGCCATTTTATAGAAGAGGCAAGTTTCTTGTGAGTTTCTCAAAGTTGTGGAGGAAGGATTGCGAGGTTTCATTCTGCAGATATATCACTCTAACATTATGGCTTGAGTTGAACACTCAACTCCCAGGTCATTGCAGGGATAAGGGATGGGAAGAGAATGCATTGCCATTTCCCAATACCATGAGTCTGGTGGGGCAAGCTAAGACCCTGCATGGCGGCAATGTTATAGCTGGAGCAGGAGTTCCTATTCTCTAAAAAAAGTTTTGGCCGGGGAGATCTGACGCAGGAACTGGCCAAAATGGGGGTGGGCAGAATGCGGGCAGTGAGGAAAGGCGAATTTGTGGAGGTTCACCTAGTTGCTGCTGGTTGCTGGAAAGAATACTGAACTACTATCTGATTCAGCAAGGCACTAATGTTTTTAAGCTTGAATGTACTCCAGTCTCACTTAACACAGATTAATTATGCTCTAAGCATCAAGAAACAAATAACAGAAGCACTAGAAACTTACCAGGAGCGCACGTAACTGAATCTTTAATCTGTTTGGTTTTCATGGTGACCTGTTTAGGAAGGAAGAGAGAGCATTTAATTTATAGATATGTTTTGTAAGATGGCTTAAAAGAAGACACCAAAGAAAACTGATCAAGACAAAGAGTCCAGTGAATACCAATAACCAGAACTATTGACGGAGACCAGCTGCACATTTCCATCCCTATTCAGCTATTCTAAAAGCCCAATGTACATGATATATAATTACAATAAATATTTTATTAAATAAACATGGACTCTGGTGTATGTCTTGCAAGCAAAACTGTGAACAATCCTCCCAGATGAGAAGCAGGGTAGGGCAGGATTGTGGACATTGCCCTGAGCTGCTTAAAGGAAGGATGGGGTATAAGTGTAACAAGTCGGTCAACAAACAACCACAACACACTGGCTCTCTCTATATGCCAAAGGGCTCCAACTCCATTAAGAAAGGAAAAAGAGGAAGATTCCATATTTCACCCAGATGACGCTCATAACCTTGCTCTTAAAAAGGGGGACAGCATCATGATTTGCATGAAATTGTATACTGTTTTTCAAAAATACAGGTTAATCAGTGCTCTTTAAGATAAACTCTTATTTAAATAGAAAACAATTAACAGAAAACCTAAGACCCGCAATCAGTTTCTCTTCATGGATCACTTCCCTAGACAATCTCTCCCTCAAATAATACTAATCTAACTATGTTTAACACAGATCTGGAGTCGTTTACACCTCATGGTGACAGAAGTTAAAAGGTAGTGTGTTTCTACTCATGAGCTCAAATTTAGACAGCCCAGTGGCAGTTAATCATTTCCCTATCTTCTCTTTGACATATGGGATGTTTTTATAACTGCACCCCCTTTACCTCACACTGCCAAGCACCACACTAATTAGAAAAGTGTGCTCCTATCTACCCACCTGCCCATTGTTGTTTTGCTGCCTACCTGGGCCTTCTCCATGCAGGCAGCAAATCCCCCATCAATCTGCTATTGCAACCTGAATATAAGAGATTAGTGACTGCAGAGGCAAAGCAGCATCAGTTTACATCCTCTTAGCCAAGCAAATGATATTATTTCATGTGAATGGAACCGGAGAGCTCTTTGCTGCCAGTTGAAAAACTTACAGTGAAATAACCACATGAAAATAAACAACTAGGAGTCTGCTTTTTCACACACACACCAGATTGTTTTCACAATTTTTAGCGTCCTTTAAAAAACTTTAAAAAATAATGACCATGATCCCAAGGCACCTTTCACAAGTGCCTTAGAAGTTTTTGATGGTAGCTGCTGCCTGTTATGACACCAGGAAAAGATCCCTGAGAGACCCTGGTTCCATACAAATGCCAGGCGTTTTCTGCTCCTGTATTAGATTTGAGCACAATTTTCAGACTCTGGTAAGTCGCGTTGAGAGGGCTCTCAGTGGGATAACAGTAGCCCAATAAATACATATTCAGATGCATGTTTCCAATTCAGGAGTGCTTATTTCTGACTGCATAGGTTCAACCTGTAACAATGCATAAGCTTTAACAGAAGCTCCACATTCCGTATCCACTACACCACACTGCCTGTGGTCATCCAGATGTGGATGGACTCCAACTCCCATCAGCCCCAGTCAGTATAGCCAGTTGTCGAGGAGCTCATCTTGCTGGGGAAGCCTGAAACAAGTGAGCCATTCGTTAACCAAACCAGGGAGAGCTCAGCCATTGAAGGGGGGAGTGTGTTTA